CCTTATCATAAAATAAATTTACATTTTTTTGGTTAAATATAAGAATTAAAATTGAATTTTTTTAATAAATTAATATTCCCATACACTTATAACTTGTTAAAGGGGAAAAAAACGTGAATTGTTGCCTACCTCGAACAAGAAAACAAAATCATATAAAACAATTCACCAAACAAATCACCTAAAGCAAACCTATTTTACAATAATTTTTAAAACGTCTATATCAGTGATATTGAGATATTAGCAATTAATTTGTCTCTACTAGCATTTAGATGTTCAATAATAATAGTGTATTAACTATTATATTTTTATAATATATTTTGATTTCAATCATACATATGTATATATAAATGATATTCTTCATAATAAGTAGATGCCATTTATTTTTCAAACTATTTATCTGAAAAATATTGAATTATATTATCAGCGGTTTGCTTATTATTTATTTCTAAGATATATAATTTCATCCAAAATTTAAAAAAATTTGTTTTATTTCCCTTCAACTCTTCTACAAAAACTCTCATCAAAATCTATCAATGTTCACTAAATTTCTAAATTTGAAACCTTCAAAACTATTTTATATCTCAAATTTATCATAAACAGTTAAGTATTTAAATAAATAATAATAATTATAGGATTTTAAATAGAAAATGAGAGTGACATTAATATTAATTGAATTTAAATATGTTAAGGGGCACAAATCAGAAGCCCACAGGAGCAGGCCATGTTCCCAATCCCCCCACAGGAAACAATTAAAAAACCTTGTTCATTTGGAGCAATTACTATTGCTTCTTCCTTTCAAGCAAAGTTTCTCAAAAGTCAAAGCCTTCGCCATGTCATTCTCATTTCCTAAGGATATAAATATTTTTATACTTTTAATTTTGTCAATAATCTGATTCAGCTTACTAATGTTTTATTTACTATCCCATTTTACTCGTTATATTCTTACTTTCTATGCAATTTTTAAATCATATATTTTCATAACCTTTTCAAAAATATTATTTTTTTAATATATTATTTCTAAATTCTACATATAAAAAATAAGAAATAATTTAATTTTTTATTTATAGAATTTTAAAAAAATATATACCAAAATATGATATTTTTAAAAAAAATTACAGAAATTTAAAATCACCGCTTGCAATTTTTGGTATAAAGGCTGATAGAACTACAAAAAGTTACTAAATTTTAAAGCTGTCACCGGTAACAATTGACAACTTTTAAAAAAATAATAATAAATTACTAATACAAATTTTTAGAAAAATAATAAATAAAATTTCTTAAAAATTTTCATTAACAAATTTTAAATCTCATTTTTACAATTTATTCTAAAATATTATATTTAATAAATTTTTCATTTTTTCTCATATAAAAAAAACCCAAAAATTAAGAATATGTATATTTTTTAAAAAAATTAATTTTAAAATAAAATATAACAAATATTTATATTATATTTTAGTTTTAAAAATAAAAAATTATTTAAAAAACAAACAAACATAAGAAATTCTCAGGGAATTCTCTTTCTCTTCTTTTTTTTTGTTTTTTGTTTTTTTTTTCTTTCTCTTCCCGTCGGTCTAAAATGCTTATGCTAGCAGCTTCTTGAATCTTGGACCAAACCCGTCTGACCCATGAACAGAATTTGGTAGGTTTCTTCTAAACGAAGTCAAATTGAATTTTATAAATATAAAAAATATTAAAAGAATTTAGTTCCTTAAATAAATCATTCTAATTTATTAGAGTTTAAATTGAATACTTAAGGGTATGTTTAAGAATTACATATAGTTTATAATATAAATGCATGATTAATATATTAATTTGTATCTTTTTATATAAAATAAAAAAATTAACCCCTCCTCTTTCGTCTTAAACCCTTCTTTTCAAATAAACTTCAAATATCAAAGGATTGATTATATATATATATATAATATTTATTTTAGATAGGGAAAATGACATTTGATAACACAAAATACAAAGGCATGGCTTGGAAATTGGGTTTGAAGATGAGGTAATACAAGAAACGGTGGATAAAGACAATAAAACGAAAGTGATATATGATAATATGATATATCCTCCATCAACAACTTTGATATTACTCATATCATCCAAATCATGAGAACTGTGGGCCAAAAGTGTTCCGACAAATATACGATAATGGACCCAAACACTCTGTAAAGCCAGCTTATGCCACTCTCCTACCATTTCTCATCACATATTTTACACTAATCTTATTTCCAAACTATGCTATCTAATGCATTCCTTCATACCCAAAATAATTCACTTTGAAATACATGCTTCAGATTATTCATTACACATGTCTTCATTTCACAAAGTGTAATTAGAGCAAGATCCTCCAATGCCATTCATAGACTTTTGGTTCACTACTATATTTTAGGACCATTAAGCATATGATTATACATTATACTATGATGCATTTGACCCTCACACTACCCGATATACATAATGTTCTTCCATATGGTTTCAATTTCAAAGTTGCTTTGAAAATAAGATTCATGTTTTTTTCTTTTTCTTTGACAGTTTATTCATTTTTATGAGGTATATTTCACATGCTTCTTTCATTTGCCATTGTATTTTTATCATTGTTAAGCTTTTCCTCTCACACTTTCATGCACTCTCAATAAATAAATCAAATTCCTTGGTTGATGACATCAGAGAATTAGAAAAATAATAATCAGTTTACGTTGAATTTTTTTTTTGAACAATTATAAAACATTGTCTTATTTTCTATTTATTTAAACTAAGCAACCTTAAGGTAGGTCTTAAATAATGATAATAATAGATATTCTTGAAATATATAAAAATACAAATATTTTGTATACAATAAAAATAAAATCAATATTTAGTTACATTCTTAGTTCGTTTTTTTAAAATATTGCAGAAATTGTTTATATAATCTATATTTATAATTTGACAATTAAATAGACGAAAATCATATTCTATATAAAGTTATTAATTCATAATATAATTATTGATGTAACTTATAATAATATAATTCAATCAATAAAAATTATTTATGTGCGAGAGTGAGGCTTAATAAATTTAAACTTACATGAATAATTAGAATTTAAAAATTCTTAAAATTTTATTTTCACTTTAAAAATTATATATTATAAAAATTACATAATTTATATGTGTTAATAATATGAACAATAATTAATATTTGTTTTTCTCGTTCGACTATTTCTTACATATATTTATTTATAACGATAGATAAAAATTAATTTAACATTATTAAATATAGTTATATGTCTAAATTTTTCTTAATAATAAATTTTGTATTTTATTATTGCACAATGTGAGGGAGTGATTTTTAACACAAAACAAACTCAACCTATTTTGGAGTGGTCAATTAAGCTAATTTAATCTAATCTAATGCGAATGATGACCTTATCTTAGTTAAAATTTAAAGTTTTATTTGAAAATTTTGAGATGAAAGGAAAAAAAAAAGAAATTTAAAGTGTAAGGGAAAAAAAAAGAAAGAGAAAAAAATAGTTAATACAAAATTTCCATTAACATGAGACTAAAAAAATTTATAAACTTTCACTTTCTTATTTAAAAACTCTCAATAGCCATTGCATGAAATTATTTAAGTTTTGTTTTTTTTCCTCTTTATATTTACTTATACAAAAAGTTCATTTTGATACGTTACATTTATAAGTATTATATTTTAGTTTTAATTTTTGTGATATTTGTGTTAAAAATACAAAATATTAATATAGTAAATTTAAAATAAATTCAATCACATTAAAGTTTAAAATATCAATTCGTTAAAAAATAAAAAAAATTAATATTGACTATGTTAATAATTTAAAATAAAAATGACTACTAATAAAATTTTACACAGAATAAATTTTTAATTTTTAATCATATAAATGACACTATTTTTAAAAATAAAACCAACTTATAAAATCATCAATAAAGTATTTTGTAAAAAAAAGGTAAAAATAATTAAGTTATTTAAATATGTATGGAACTCAAAGATGGAGTTCTATAAAAACTTATTGTATTCATATGTCAATTAATTCATTAAAATATATTATATTTAAATTCACCACATATAAAATTATGTCAAGCAAGAGATAGCTATAGTAAAAAATAAATTGTATTATTTTGAAATTGGAAGGCCAAGCCCATGTGGAGTGGTCTAACAGTGCATAAATATGACGCGGGCTTATGATTTTACGTAATAAAACTTAAACATAAAAAATTATTTTGTTAGTAAAATATAAATTGTAGAAAAAAGGAATAGTAAAATTATTTTAGAACTTAAATATGAAAAGTCAATTATTTTGGTAAAATGTAAATTGTTGTAAAAAAGAAAAATAAAATTCAAAATTCTGAATTTTCTGTAAAAGAAGAACTTAAGGATAAACCATTCCTTTTGTTCTTTTGAAAGGTGAAAAGAGGGAACGGTGGTCCCGTAACGGAGCCAACATACCCGTGTCGTGGGTTGCTGCTACCATATCTCAATCTTCAATTATTTTTCTCACAGAAAATGTTTGGTAGCCTAAGGAAAGAGAAATTCAAGAATAAAAGAGATGAAATTATCTATTTTTTAAGAAAATCACCATTTTTTATTTTTAAAGAATAAAAATATAAATCAATAGAGACGTAAATTAGTATAAAAATATTAAATTAATTAAATTTTATTTTTAGGAAAAAATAATTTTTATCTTGAACAAACTGTATTTTTTTAAGATTAAATTTATATTGAAATTCATATTAAAAATAGAAAACATAATGGAAGTTACGGTTAATAGCATTAACATAGATTACGTAAATAGAGGTTAGATATAAACTATTAATTCCAAAAGTAAAAACTATGAGATTTTGTCGGGGGGGGGGCGGGGGGGGGTGTGGTTTGAACTCTGAAGCTGTGCAGTGCAGCAACGCACTCGAGTACTCCACACTCGCCCCAAAACAGCGCGTGCCCTCACTCCCTGCCACGACCCCCACTGTCTCCACTCCCTCAAACCACATTCAAATTCGCTCTTTCTTCGTCCCACTTTCACTCATTCAAACTCCAAACACTAACACAAGAAGCAAAAAAACGAGCCACCTTAACCTTAACTCTACTCAAATCTCGCCTTAAAACTCTCTTTCACATCCCTTGTCTTTGTTCCCCACTCTTTCCTTTTTCTCTGTCTTGTAACCATTGAAAGAGAGAGAAAGTTTTGTGCTTTTGCATAGAATCACCACCCCATCCTCTTCTAATCCCTCAAACCAACCTGCATTTTCCATTTCATGCAGAGATTCCATTTGGGTCTCTCTCAAAACCTCCCTTTGATGATGGATTCAGCTTCATCCCATTTGTCTCTCCAAAACCCAAAAACACCCTTCCAAGACCCTCCAGAAGCTTCTCCAAAGCCTTACAAGAAGGGCTTTGTGGCCACTCTAATGGGAGCTTCAACCCCTTCTTTCAAAGAAGATAACTACTTTGTTTCCCTTCTCAAGTCTTCAGAGAAAAAAGCCCTTCAGGAGCTGAAAGACAAGCTCAAAGCTTCATTTGATGAGGCTCCTTCTGATGCCTCCATGTGGGGCATTCCTCTCCTTGGAGGTGATGATAAAGCGGATGTTGTTCTCTTGAAGTTTCTTAGAGCAAGGGACTTCAGGGTTGGTGATGCTCTTAACATGCTTCTCAAGTGCTTGGCTTGGAGGAAGGAGTTTGGTGCTGACAGCATTTTGGAAGAGGATTTGGGGTTCAAAGAGCTTGAAGGAGTTATAGCTTATATGCAAGGGTATGATAGAGAGGGACACCCTGTGTGTTACAATGCTTATGGTGTGTTTAGGGACAAGGACATGTATGAGAGGGTCTTCGGTGATGAAGAGAAGCTGAAGAAGTTCCTTAGGTGGAGGGTTCAAGTCCTTGAAAGAGGCATCAAGCTTTTACATTTCAAGCCTGGTGGGGTCAACTCTCTCATTCAGGTCACCGACCTCAAAGACATGCCCAAGAGAGAGCTGAGAGTTGCTTCCAACCAGATCCTCTCACTCTTCCAAGACAACTACCCTGAAATGGTGGCTCGCAAGGTATCTTTCTGTTTCTGGGATTTTGTTGTTTTCTTCAAAATAGGATCACTGTGAAGTTGGCTGTTTCTTAATGTCACGTCATTTATGTGACTGACTCAAATTTTCACTTTTTTTTTCTGATTTGCTTGATTTTGCTTTTGTTTTGGTGGTGATGGTTTGAGGGGTGCTTCAGATTTTCATCAACGTGCCTTGGTACTTCAGCATGTTGTATTCCATGTTCAGTCCATTTCTGACTCAAAGAACTAAGAGCAAGTTCGTGATCTCTAAGGAAGGAAATGCTGCAGAGACACTCTATAAGTGAGTCTAATTTTTTTTAACTTTATGGAGTTCATGAATCCACTATTCTGGAATATTTTGGTTGAGCTTGTTCTTCTCCATTTTTATCTATATCAGGATTTCTAAATGGCTCTGAAATCCCTTATCAGCTTTCTACTATTGTCTGGGATCTTGTTCATTAATTTTATCTTTCATTGGCTTTCATTTCATGGTAGCAAATATAATTTCATCTTTCTTTCTATTTCCATTTTGGGTTTGTTTTCTGAAGGGTGTTGTTTTCTTGTGTTCAGATTTATGAGGCCTGAAGATATTCCTGTTCAGTATGGAGGACTGAATCGACCCAGTGATTTGCAGAATGGTCCCCCAAAACCTGCATCTGAGTTCACAGTCAAGGGAGGCGAGAGAGTGAACATACAAATAGAAGGAATTGAGGTGATAATTTACCTCCTTTCTATATACTGCATGATTAGAACAACCTTTTCTTGTCAACTTTTCCGTAAGAGTTTTTGGGAAAAAAAAAGGATTATTTTCCAAATGATTTATTCCAACCGTATATTTAGTTCAATTTGTTCTAAAAATCTAGTATTTTTTAAAAATAAGTGATTTTTTTTTTGGTTTGAGACAATGTAATTGTTTTCACATCTGTACAAACTTTTAGAAACAGAAAATAAAGTTGCATTTTTGTAATTAAAAGTAAAGATAGAAAACTAGAACGGAAAACGCTTCCTCAAACCAAACAGTCCTAATCTTTTATATGCAAATTATGATTGCTATTTGCTCCTTATGTCATGCAAATGGTTTTATTGTTTTTTTTATTTCAATTTAAAGCTTAACGATTTTGATACCAATGAAAGATTGGTTGTTGGGTGCATTAGGCTGGTGCCACTATCACGTGGGACATTGTGGTTGGAGGGTGGGACTTAGAATACAGTGCTGAGTTTGTCCCAAATGCTCAAGGAAGCTACACCATAGCAGTTGAAAAGCCAAGGAAGATTGGATCTTCAGAAGAAGCAATCCACAACTCATTCACATCAAAAGAATCTGGCAAAATGGTCCTCTCTGTTGATAACACTGCCTCAAGGAGGAAAAAGGTTGCTGCATATCGCTATGTTGTCCGCAAAAGCAGCACCACTTGAGATGACCATCAAATAGTTTTTAGGATCTTTTTTATTTAATATTTTGCTTGTGATGTTTTTTTATTCTACTTTTTTTTTGGTTAATCTTTAGTGGGTCTTATCTCATTTATGCTTTTGAACTTGTTAAAGCCTGTTTACATACAGGTATATTAACTAGTAGTGGTACTACTAATGTAATGTATAAAAAGAGAAAAATGGTGGTAGTATATGGCTTGGTATAGAAGAAAGGCAATTAAGTTTGCTTATATAGCATACCATGTTACTGTTTGGCCTTTTGTTTGTGGTGTGAATCTTTCAAATGTGACCATTGTTAACCTTTGGAACACGTGGCTATTGAGAGTTGGGAATAGTTGTGGTGTCAATCTAGGGAGAGAGAGTGGCTATTTGGCATTGTGTATGTTGCAATCTATAGAGGGATCGCTTTGTGAAGGTGCAATCAATAGTTTTTATGATTTGAAGTTTCTGTTTTTGTGTTGTGAAGGAAAAAGTACTTAAGATGTGTCCACATAAATGCAAAGAAAAATTGTGGGGGTGATAGATAATGACTGGACTATGTATTGTAAGAGGGGTTTGCTTACTTTTGTATAGATTTGATAATGTATGGACCATGATGGTGACGAGAGTTCCAAAGAAAGAAGCGGGAAGAGTTCACGGGCAGTAACTGGTAACGTGTGCAGTGAGTTAAAATTAGGTAGTGGAGCCTCTTTTCTTGCTTTCCTAATTTTTTGAGAGTGATGGCTGTTGTGGTTTGGTGAAGTGAACCATTTAGGCATTTCCCTTTTCTTTTTAAATTGCGATTCCCTTATCTACCCTTCATTTACTTTTTATACATATATTCCATTGTCTGCCCTGAGGCTGAGGGTTATAATAGTTAGTATTACTAATGTGTTTGTTATGTTGTCTTCTTCCCCCTAATGAGACTTTAATTTTCAATGTTACAATAAACATTTGCCTTCCAGTGTAGTATCAGTGCTGAAAGGTTTTGCTTAAAGAGTAAATATCCAGGTAAATAATGGACGACCCTAATATGATTGCATTAGCATGCGTGAACAAAAATAAATTTAGTTTTTAGTCTGTAGTTTATTAATAATGAATCTTGTTAATGATATTGTGACATATAGATAGTATATATATAGTTTTGTCACGGTAGTGATAATTTTGAAGTGACATGCGAGATGTGACATATTTAGATGTATGGTGTGTTATTTAGCAGTGATATTAAAAATTAGGCAAACAACTTCAAATTTATGACAAAAAAATTAATAAACTTTTTTGGTGGATTAACATTAAGTATAAGTATGGTTTTAAAAATTAAAGTCATATTTTACCCTAAATACCATATGCAAACTGAGTTTGAATAATAAAATGTATATGCAAATTGGGTAGTGCAGCCTGTACATGTAGTTTTGCTATAGGAATAGTACACAATGTGTTCACATCATAGACTGCATTGATTATATTTTGCTGGGACAATTGTACAACTTTAAATCAAATCAGTATTGGCAGCATTAACAAATGAATGTTGGAAAGGGAGCTAGTCATAAAAAATTGTCATTCATTGTATCTGCTAACTAGTACCACACAATTCTCTAGAAGCAAGGAAAGTATCACATATTTCGCCAGAATGGAAGACTAATGCATGGTCCTTGACGATTTCCCCATGTGCAACTGCACCAATGCATAATGCTCCGTCTTTCAAGGGTTATAAACTTCATTTTTGGTTGAATTTTCCCTCTATCACTGAAAAAAGTGGTACTACTGGCCCTTTATGATCAATCACGTTCTGTTTTGAAATGGATTTGATAAATTAACTATGATAGGACTCGTCAGTATTTGTATAGTGTGTATTAAATCTGTTGTGTCCTTTTCTCGTAACGTAGAGAGTGGCATCCAAATTCGTTGCATATTAGTGGAACATTGCCAATTTTTCCAACATATTATTCAAGTGAGTAATTGAGCCCGTATTGTCCATGTTGTTTCAAACATTTTGTTTTTGGGGGTCCGATATTTCTAACAAAAATTAAGAAGCAACCTTTGAACTAAACGGTAAGATCTAGGTCACACTCTTTTCGTACACAACAACATTCATCTTGTTTTCGCTCTCTCTATATATTCCTAGATCTAAATGGTCTAGAATGCATATAGATACATATATCATTCCTTCATTTAATTTTTTCTTAGTGACCAGGCCAAGACCATCTGCCATCTTCCTCTATAATTAATTACAACATACCATCCTTCAAAGGAAAATCAAAACTTAAATATTTACAATATCTAATAATTTTTCAATATTTACTCATAATCAGTACCAGCAAATATATATATATCAATTTAAAAAAAAAATGTTATTCATCATTTCAATATATCACAAGCATGGAGATACATCAACTAAGAAATGGTAATGTTTTATTTTGAAGTACACCTATTTCTGTAACAAAATTCTTGGTCTATATTTTGAAGTTACAATCATGCTAATTAGTTTGCAGACCATCCCCGGAAATATGACACAGAATAGGCCGCAGCACAGCTTTGAAGTCATCATAAAACCTCTGCTCGGAAAATCTCCTTGCTCGTCTCCTGGCAGCAGCAGCCATCTTAAGTCTCTCTGCTTTTGGCATCCTTACAATTCTCAACATGGCATCTGCATATTCTTCAACAGTACAAGCAAGAAATCCTGTTTGCTGTCCCTCTTCATCTAAGACAATGTCCATTTTTGGGCCAGCAGAATTATGAGCTGACAATCAAACATTGCAAGAATAATCAATACTTGTAAAAGCAATACGATAGAGAAAATGAAAAGCATATTTACTGAAATGTAAAATTGCACATCATACGCACCAATTGGGATGGCACCAGCAGCCATGTATTCTACAACACTAATGCCAAAATGCTCATCTGTCATGGAATGGATGCCAGCAACAGCTCCTGCTAGAAGTCCGACTAAATCTCTGCAGGTTAAGACAATGCTCTAATATGTTAGTAGGATAACCTTTAAAATTAAGTTTTTTGAAGTATAAATATAACCTAGAACTATTGATTGGCAAAGTTCAAAAATGAATTCATGCAATAAAAGTAATAAAATAATTTTAGTGAAAAACCTTTTAGTCATTTTTCCAGACTTAACTAATTCAAATCTCAATTAACATTCCATGCAACTAACTTTTTTCCCTGTTTGGTCTGGTGGTCTCCAAGCTATATTACATGCATCTTTCATTGAATCTAGGTGCGTTCTTGCAACATTCATCCATTCTTGTGCATTACAAAGGACCATTGACACCATGACTAAAGGACTTACTGGGAAAGTTGTCACATCCCTATCAAACTAGCTATTGATCTTTATAAGTGAAAAAGAACACTTTATAAGAGCCACACCCCACCATAAGAAAGTTCAAGAAATGTACCAAAACATACCATAAGAGCACTTGACTTGGATAATGTCATTGATCTTTCTGTATTTAATCTAAAGTTTTAATTCCTCAGTTTGAGCATAATATCTCTACATATGTAATGTTTGACCCAGATCCAGATCTTCTTGGGCCTTTTTCCACCTTAAAAGGAAAAGCCAGGCCACACACAAGTTAGACTAGTAATTAATGCCAAGTACATGCTTATACCTAAACTAATCAATAGTTCCAAAACCCAGTGTACATAGGCTTGGGAGCTAAGCAAGTCATTTCAACATTAGAAATTTGAAACACTTTTAAGTTTCACAGAAGTTTCTTTAATTAATCAATACATAATCCAATTGATTACTAAATTAAAATGCTAGATGGACTGACAACTATCATCTGCCATTAACTAAGGAATAAAAGATATGCATTCTACAGAATATAACTTTTTTTAAACATTTAATTCTGCAGAGAAACTTATGATCATTAGGAGTGAACAACAAAACTGGAAAGCCACTGGTACTAACTTGTATGTTACATTCTTGTAAAATTCCACGAGCTCATTGACATTCAGCTCGATTGCTTTCTTTTTTAACATTTGAAGTCTTTCCTCATCTGATTTATTTCTACAGCTACCCACAATTTGGAACTTAGGTTTTGGCAAGCTAGGATCTAATCTCTTAACGGCAGCTGAAAAAGCCTCTAGTTGGAGAGTGTGAGCCTACAATTGAAAAAAAATGTCAACTTGGTATAATCAATAAAGGCTCAAATGAGCCACGAAAAATAATTGTACCTCTTGCTCACAAGATTGATAGGAGTATGCCCACCTTCTCTGGTCGAAATTGTGCAACAGATATCATTATAGGAATTTCAGCTGATCTTTCCAAGGAAAGTACCTGCCCAGATTGCCAAGTCAGAATCCATCAATGATTACCAAACTAGGTAAAACATGCACACACAAAGCACCATCCTCATATTGAGTGGTCACATTAAATTAAAGTTTTAAAAAATTTGGCAAATATACTACGCCAGGAGGAAACATAGGAGAAACAGGCCATGAGAGCCTTCAATGCCACAAACCAACATGCAATACAGGATAGTTATCCACCTGACTGCAGAATACGGAAGAGAGAAACTTGAGAATACAACAATTGTAGGACTGCAAAGAACAAATTGCATACCTGGAGTCCTGAAGTATCACATGGAGGATAGACTCGCTTTATACGATCTGGAACTCTCCAGAGCTTTTCAATATGGGATTTGGTCCAAGATGAATTGACCATAGCTAGGTGTGTAAAAGATCCTACAATCCCATACAAGTAGCTGAAGAATGTATAATAGATTATTTTGCACCTAGAAAGCCAAGCACTGCAGGAAAATAAATGTCAAATTCCCTAAAATAGAAAAGAAGTAAAATGTAGCGTGAATTTATTGCATAGTATAGAACAGAAGTGCACATGCATTGAGGGGTAAAGGGAAGTATGTGAAATGTGAACTTTCACATATAAAAACGTTGACTTTGAATTCAGTTTAAATAAACTTCTCAACGGCACTAATAGAAGAATAAAATAAGGAGAAAAAAGTTTAATTCATTTTACCTTAATATTTTCTTCACTTACAAGAACTTGTTGAGAAGTATATCGAGCTAGGCCTTTGGTAATTTCTATACGAAAAGATTATTTAAAAAACAAAATCAAATGTAAACCAGATATATGGTGCAACTACTTTTAGAGAAACTCACTTCCAATCTACCCTCACCCTCAAAACAATTTGGATAAGCTATAATATTCAAATTTATGAAATATAGAAAAGAAAGAACCAATGCCATCATTAACAGGCGAGGAAAACTAATGAAGTATGACTAAACCAAGAGGCAAAAGAATAAATCCATTAATTAGAAATCAAACCTTTTTGCAATTAAGGTATCATTATTATACATCAAATTGCGTTGACGAACACGAGATAACATGTCTGAGCTGATAGTAGGATAGTGTGTATAGCAAATAACTTTGCATCCAAACAACCGAGCAAGTGGATACGTAAAAGCATATCCACTCGTATCAAAGTAATACAAAGGGGTAAACTTGTACAACGCTTCCCAAGCAAGATACATTGAACCCAAACTTTGACCAATCATCGTTAAGTGCGGATATGTGGCTTCTTCTATCCAATTTCTCTTGTACAAATGCACCACCTGAGAATTGTGGAAAACAGAAGACACAGGTTATCAGGCTTCTTAACAAATTTAATAGATTCTAGCAAATAGGTGATAAAAGAAGATCTATTCACCCTTGGAACAGTATTCATTACTTCATATAAGCAAATAATCATCATATTTATCTTGACACAAGGGTAAATGTCATCCAAATTCTTGTTCTACACCAGGCCATAGCATTCAACATTCCTCATCTCGTCCATCCTATTAACACTCCCATCAAGTCCATCAACTAAGCAAACAATGTCATGTTCTACTGCCCTTCTTTGGCTCACTTCACTTGGAGTGGGGAATCCAATTCAGGAGCCAAAAGCCCCAGACCAGTCTTTTGCTACTTATGGTAATAAATAAAAAGTTATTGGCTTTCTTCACCTTTGAATATTGCTATCTAGTAGTGGTCTATGCCAACAAGGCAAGCATTATGGAATCACCATTTTTCCTTTCCAAATTGATTATACCCTTACGTGTAAATTAAGAGTTTGAATACTTGAGCCTTAATTCTGTATCATTTATGTGAGTGTAAATTAAGAGTCATTGTTCATGTCTTCGGTGAGTTAATTCAGTCTAGAAATTCAATCACATAATTAGGGTTAAAGTCATTTGATTAAGCCACATAAAGTTCCAGTCAGTTCTAGAATCAGATGGGGTGGGTCTATAATCAGCAAGTCTATGTAATTTCAACATGATTCAGTTTATTCAGAATATAACTTCTGCTTCACCATTGTGCAAAAATGGTACCTTCTATACCCTTTCTTTTCTGATTAGATTTCCATATATTTTTAATCCAAGGAGGTGCACTCCCTCTGACCCAAACTTTTTATCCATATACCTACCCAAACTATTCCCATAATTTTCCTTACAATCGAAACCAAAAATTTATGTAGAATCATAGACTGCGCTCATGATATTTGGTGAAGTCCTATTGTTTGATCCATAGCATACTAAGAATAGAATGGGATAACTCATCAATGGGCCAGTCAGGACCTTTATAACATCCAGACCCTGTCAACTCAGCACTTCACTGGAGCTTATTGAAGGACAATATGTTCCTTGGATCCTAATGGACTTGTTTAACATAAAACAAAAACCACAGAACTCAGTAAACCTCAACTGAACAAAATTCTAACAAAATCACAAAGCATTTAAATATATTCCATGTCTAGCATACACTCATTTATACCACGATATGAATAGATAAAGCACAGAAACAAACCAAGGACTAATGAACATCTACAACAACTGTGTTTTTTACAAATATTCTAAATGTACTAAACACGCCAGTGAATCTATATAGACAAGTACACTAACAGGTTCCTTTCTCCTTATGTATCCTCTGCCCATTACTATAATTTGGCAGTAGAAGAACCTGCTTCACCTTCAGGTAAACGCTGGATAAAGCCAAATTCACAATAGAAGTGTATATAAAATTAACCAATAATCACAGATAAATACAAAGCTTAAAAGGGTTCCATCCCACTCTTCAAATAAAAAACAGAACCTAATCAACAAAACCCCATTTCAAATTATACCTCCACTCTTATTCATTAAAAACAAACAAACACAAATTCATTAAAAGTAATAAAAATTAATTATATATCATTACTTTATACTATATTTTATAAATCTCCACAATATTAAATGGTAAAATTTGTGACTTATACATTACATAAATAAACACAAATCTAATTAACAAAAGTCGATTTCAAATAACAGATAAGGAAGATGAGAGAATGAAGAAAAGGGAGTACCTTAGGAGGAGAGAGAAGGGTGACTCCAAAGCGATCGAGGGCACGAGCCATCAAGGAGTGAGGGGTAGCATCGTGATCTCCGGTGTAGACATAGCAGTGTAGGTTAGGGTTCTCATCCTGAATTCCTCTTACGGCGCACCATAGCACCCTTTCGCCGCCGCCACCGTCGTTCGTGTACGGATGGAAGAACCCCACCGCTCTCTTCCTCCGTCGCCTTCCATTGATTACGCCAACGCAGAACCCCACCAATATGGCAGTGATGAGCGCAACTATGATCATCATCAACATCACAGTGATGCCGTTGCTCCTTCAGATGTACCAAGCTTTGACGCTGTCCAAGAAATTAAACCAAACACTTCTACTCCATTTTACGGGTTAAAAATATTAATGACTTAAAAGGTGAATAGTATTTATGTTCAAAACTTTACATTATAAATTAATCTTAATTATATCTTTTTAATAAATTTACTTTCTTTATGGTACTAAAGTTTTTCTGCAGTTTTATTATTTCAGTATTTCTTGTATTATTTTTTCATAAAAAACTAAAAAAATGTACCCGTACATTACACAGATTTATACAAATATATTTTTATTTTTATTAGTTAATTTAATTTAAAAATAATTATAATTTAAATAATAATTATTTTTAATATGACAGAAAAATAAAAAATAAAAATTTTAATTATTTTTTAAATACATTATATATAAAAAATAACTATAACAGTTAAATTTAATTTATATGTAATTTTAAACATTTTAATTTAAATAATAATAATTTAATTATAAATTAATAAATATATTTGTGTATTATACAAATTTATTTATATTTTTATTAAATTATTTTAAAATAAACAAAAAATTTATAATTTACATATAAAAATATCTAGTAATAAAATTTTATTATATTAAATAATATCAAATATAATTATATTAAAAAAAATATGATAAATAAATTTTTATATATAAATTTTTTTATATATTTTTCATCCTCTTAATAATAAAAATTATTATTATTTTTAGTTGATATAAACATAAAAAATAATTTTTTTAAAATAAATTAAAAATAAAAATACATAAAAAAAGGTATATACCAATGAGTAGAAATATAAAATAAAATATTTTAATAAACATTGAAGATTAGTATTATGCTCAACTAATCAAGTAAGATTTATTTAAATTAAGTTTAATTTTTATTTTTTAAGAATTGAAATAAATATTGACATGTCCAATTATCTAAATTGATTATTCATATTACCAATATTCTATGTAACTTTGAGTATTCTAAAGTTTAATAAGTATAAATTTTGTTATAAATATATCTAGTAATAAGTAGGTGCAGTCAATTTTATATAAATTAATTTATATATTTTAATTAAATTTAATTATAAAATATTAATTATAAAAAATATTTTATGAGTACTATAAAGATAATCAAAATTAAATAATATTATATTTTATTAATTAAATTTTATTTATTATTAATATGTTTAAAATTTATTTAAGAACTATATTTATAACATAAGATTTTATTATTTTTTATAATTATTTATAAATATTTTTATTTATAAATTTTAAAATATGATATATATGATATGTCAATTTTGATATAATTTTAGATAATGTAAAATTATACTATTGTAGATTAATTAAGTTAAAGAAATATTGATGGATTTGATATAATTTAATTGATTAAAAATAAAATTTAATACTTAATATCACTTAAAAATAATATAGTTTTATGCGTACTTAATAAATTAAATAAAATATATGAATATAATTTAATAAAAAAATAAAAAATTATCAATATTAACAATATATGTGTTTAATTAAATAGAAAACTTTTAATGTTAACATAATTATAAAATACATAAATAAAATAAAATGGTAGAAAGAACTTTTAAAAAGTTCAAAAGCTGTATATAATAATAAAATTTATTTATATTATAATTTATTTATCTTTTTATGATAAATATAATTTAATAATTTATAATATACAATATAAGATGATCATTTAAATTAATATATTTAAATTTAAAAATAAGATACAATTTCATTTTCTATTAACATATCGGTTCAGGGGTTAGAGAAAAAAAAAAGAACATATCACTTAAGAGCTTCATTTCATTTTTATGAAATTTTTTTATGTAATTTAATTAATATTTCTTTTTTAATATTTTACAATAAATTTTATTTTTTAAATATTTAATAAATTTAAATAATTTTTATTAAATAACACTTATAGCAAATTTATTATTGTCTTTTTTAAAAGTGTATAACTATCCATATAAAATATTTATATAAAATCAATTCTAATAGAATTTTTTTAAATATAATTTAAAGATAATAATTATTAATCAACGATAATTTTAATTCATAAATTATGTAAAATATTATAATTAATTTTAATAAATGATTATTAAATATAATTTATAGTCAATATGTTAATTTCGTTTCTGGCATTACCAACATTTGTTGTGACCATTCATATCATTAACCATGTAAATAAATCTAAACATTTCAAATCTTAATAATTATAATATTCGTTATAAATATATATAGCAATAAGTAGGTGGGAGGTAATATTTTATTTCTAATAATGTAACATTTATATCACTAATAATATAACTGATTCTAAATATTATAAATCTTTATAATCATAAAATTTGATATAAATATACAGAGTAATAAGTAGTTGCAGTTATCAATATTATAAGTAACTATAAGTATTCTAAAGTTTAGTAATGATAAATTTTGTTGTAAATGTATACAATAATAAATAGTAGCAGTCAATTTTACATATAAACTAATGTGATATCTGATAGAGATCCAAGGTTTACCTCAAGGTTTTGGAAGAGTCTGCACAGGGCGTTAGGAACTAAGTTGAAGCTTAGTTTAGTTTACCATCCACAAACTGACGTTCAGATAGAGAGGACCATCTAGTCCCTAGAAGACTTGTTGAGTGTTTGTGTGATTGAGTAGCAGGAGACTTGGGAAGAATGTCTGTCGTTGATAGAGTTCAAGTACAACAGTTATCACGCCAACATTGGGATGACTGTACCCTTCTGAGTACCCTCACTCGGCTAAGGATGAATTAATCATATTATTCCCTCCCAAGTACCTATACTTGGCCAATGATGCATAAATTACTGTACCCTCCCGAGTACCTCTACTCGGCTAAGGATGAATTAATCATATTATTCCCTCACAAGTACACATACGTGACCAATGATGCATAAATTACTGTATCCTCCTGATTACCCCCACTCAGCTAAGGATGAATTAATCATATTATTCCCTCCCAAGTACCCTTACTTGGCCAAGGATGCATAAATTACTGTACCCTCTCGAATACCCCCATTCGGCTAAGGATGATATGATTCTATTCGATGACCCCCTATCTGGCTTACATTATAACAACGACATGTTCAAGTTACATTACGGATACTGGCATCATAATATAATTAAAATTGCAAAGACACAAGTTAAACGAAGAGAAATTGTATTGAAAAGCCGAGCGGTGTACAAAAATTAGGCATTATTGGCCTATGAATTACAAAAAGTGAAATACAAAAAGTGAAAAAGAAAAAACTAATATCCCCCTTTGGGACCATGCTGCGCAGGGGCATCCTCCTCGATTGCACCTTGTGCTTGGCTCGATGCCTCAGCGTCGAGCTATACTTCCTCATCCACCTCTTCATATGGTAGAAATTTTTCACCTAAGAAGTCCTTGGACATGTCGAAGTTGAAGTGGGAAGGGACTCGGCAGAATTCATAAGCCTGACAGACGGCATGTTTGAAACCGGCCTCATGCTCCACTACAAGTTTTATATTACACTCGTCGGTTAAAGCTTTCAACTCAGTTCCAGACTTTTGCTTCTCTTGCTTTAACGCCAAACTTTTGGCTTCCAGCTCCAAGTTTTTCGCCTTCAACGCCTCCTCGACTGCACGCATTCGACTCTTCACTATATGGAAGTGCTCATTCATTTTAGCAACTTCTCCCTCCAACAACTTGTTAGTTTCGGACAAGTTTGACCGAACCTCTTCACTCTCTGCTAGAGCCTGTTCGGTGGTGGAGACTCGACCTTGAACCTTTTTCAGTTCCTGTAAAGGTTCCAAGGCAAAACTGCGCGCTATCACCATGGCCTGGGTTTGAAACTCGCAATACCACTGCCAACGTGTCCGGTGATTTTGATTATTTACAAGAGCTCCTCCTCACTCTGATAAAGAGTCAGGACAAATCACTCGATTGACTCGAAATCCCTCAACAAAGAAGGACTCGGACACAGCGGCAGGGGGTACTACTGTTTGAACTGAGGAGTCCCCTGGACGACTTGAACTAGCATGTTTGTGCCTCTTTTCCTTCTCGGGCTCCTTCTCCTTGCCTTTGTCCTTCCTTTTCTTGGGTCGGCCTTCGGTAACGGAGAGATCCTGAGGAGTGGGCGGGCTTCGGTTATAGATGAAATTCGATCTATAACCAGGTGTCGGTGATCAGCAGCAGAAGTGCCCTTAGGAGTTTTCAGCTTAAGACCCTTTCGGTAGCCTAAGCCGGATCCTCTCTGTGCGATTATACCTACAATGAAAACAAGAAGTCAAATCAATATAAACCAATATTCAAAGTACAAGTAAAAAAAGTTTGACCGAACCTCTTCACTCTCTGCTAGGGCCTGTTTGGTGGTGGAGTGTCGACCTTAAACCCTTTCCAGTTCCTGTAAAGGTTCCAAGGCAAAACTGTGTGCCATCACCATAGCCTGGGTTTGAAACTCGCAATACCACTGCCAACATGTCTGGTGATTTTGATTATTTACAAGAGCTCGTCCTGACTTTGATAAAGAGTCAGGACAAATCACTCGATTGACCCGAAATCCCTCAACAAAGAAGGACTCGGACACAGCAGCAGGGGGTACTACTGTTTGAACCGAGGAGTCCCCCGAACGACTTGAACCAGCATGTTTGTACCTCTTTTCGTTCTCGGGCTCCTTCTCCTTACCCTTGTCCTTCTTTTTCTTGGGTCGGCCTTCGACAAGGGAGAGATACTGAGGAGGGGAGCGGGCTTTGGTTATAGACAGAATTCGATCTATAACCAGGTGTCGGTGATCAGCAGCAGAAGTGCCCTCAAGAGTTTTCAACTTAAGACCCTTTCGGTAGCCCAAGCCGGATCCTCTCTGTGCCATTGTACCTACAATGAAAATAAGAAGTTAAATCAATATAAACCAATATTCAGAGTACAAGTAAAAAATCAAAACATACCATCCATATCCAAACGAGGATGAGGGGACTTCAATAGGAGGATGAGGTGCTGGGCAGGAAGCTCTCTAGGAAAAGACTTCAAGTATTCCAGGGCCGACAACTCTTCA